AATTTTTGCAAAGGTGTCCAATGGGTGAGTGGGACCCATGAGAATGAGAGATAAGGTAGAAATAACTAGTAAGCAGCTACTCAAAACTGCATCTGAACAAACCACTTTGATAATCCAAAGCTATTTATCTCCATCATTCTGGCTCCTGTCCACACAGGAGCTGAAAAGAGATCTTTCCTTACTACCTCTCATTTAGGTTTCTGTGTGGTACCCATATTTGTAACTGTAAATATAATTCAATTTGAATTGGAAGAGTCCTTAGATCATTTACTTGACACATAACTCTTCGACTGACCAGAGATATACAGAAGTTAAGTAATAACTTTTTGAGGATATATGGAGTACTCAAGTATTTTAATGAGGGTAGACCAAGTAACAACTTCCAAACCCCAGAGGCTTTAAATAAAGAAATATTTCTTGTTCACTCCATATATTTGATGGGATTTACTCACCAGTCTTTTAGGGTCCCAGGCTGATGGAGGCTATATCCCTATAGCAGGAGGAAGGGAAGTTGGTGAATGGTACTCTGCTTTCTGAAGCTTCCGTATATAAGTAACACGTTTGCTCATTTTTTAATTGTCCAGTCAAAGTAAATAGAGTTCAATCCTGTCATATGTACAGAAGTAGAACTGCCATATTTATGAAGAGCCTTAATGACTTCTACCCAACATTAGAGAAGAACCCAGACAGCTTGTTCTCATATTCAAATAAAAGTTCAAGAACTTGCTACAAAATCAACTCTAAGTTATCTGAATTATATACCCACTAAAAAGAATCTTCACCGTCTTTAGGTAGATATAGAAAGTGGTTATCTTTCTTCTGGTCTATAAAATTACAATAGCTATGAGAACAAAATATCACTTGATAATAGATGAATTTTTCAAAAGGTTTTGATGTGGGCAGAGCATAACAGCATTACTCACATAAAAACTTTTATTAACTACAGAGGAATTTTTTATATCCTACTGAAAGAAGACACATAAAAAAAGCATAAAGAGTATTTCTCTTCTGTTCTGTAATCAATGCTTATTCTGAAGTTATACTCGACCTTTGCTATGGTCTTTATTTACTGGGGACACTAAAATGAAGGCTTATTACATTTTATGGCATTTTGACCCATCTTCTCTGTATAGTACACAGAATAGTTGTGACAAGCACTGTCTTTTGCATTTCCAATAGCCACTTTCTCTTTCCTTTCTGGTAGAATTCTGATGTGTTCCAAAGTCCATTCTGCCCACCTAATACTTGTGATTAAATCCTAATTGGTCGAATTTAATCGCTGTCACACCATCCTCCTTGCTAGCATTATATTTAGAGGTGGATTTATCACTCTCTGGCCAATGACTGGTGAGGAGTAATCTGAAGGAAAACTTTCTTCACTCTTAAAAAAATAACTTAGAGACAATAACTTTTATTGTTGGACACTGTCAATTCTGTGTGGGATCCTGGAACAATGAAATAAATAACTTAGGAAAAACAGATTAAGGAAAATGCAAGGCATTGGAATTCCTGAGCTCTATCTTTTGTTAAACACAATGAAAAGAAAAAAATTCTCTAATTGTTTAAGTCAGTGCTTTTCAAAACAAAGTAACTGCCAGAATGTAAAAAACACACACTTTTCTTCATCAAGGGTGTCTGCAAAGAAAGAAAAAAGTCAGATGGACTAAACAGTGTGTTCAGGGACATAGCTGAGTACATTTCAGGGCCAACTTCTAATCCCATGGGGTTTTTACAATAGACGGATTATTTGAATACACTTACATTTGTTGTAGAATCCAACTCAATTATCTAGGAAAAATTCATTTTACTCATAACACCTTGAAATATATTTTGATGTATATGAGGCCTAGAATTTGTTCTTTTTAGGTAATCTTATCATTTTTGACTTCAGTAATCCTTTCAATTAGTGTTCATTGACCACTAACTAAATTATAGATGGAGGATGCATGAATAAATAAAGCCTGTTTCAGAAAAATCACAAGCTGGTATGGGAGGTAGGCAAGAAGTCAATGATTACAGTCCATGCTAAATTACAAGGCTGTTTACAAGGTGTTGTAGACTTACGTGTAGTGTTAACGGGGAGAAATCAGCAAGGGCAGACTACAGAAAAAGGGTCACTAAACTGAGACTTGGCAGTATTATGTCTCACAGTGCCATGTGGTTGGGACAAAGCTGAAACTGAACGTCGTTGTAAAAGGAGCTGGGGGTTTACTCAGAGGAAGGACATGGCTTATGATGATTAGATTTGCATTTCAGCACCATTACTGTGGCATCATTTATGGAGATAGTAAGGTTGATATGTCTGCCAACAGCTGGAACCTTAACTTGGTTAATGGGAATTACCATCTAATACTATTGCAGAATAGCTCTGGGGTCAAGTTGAACAAATGCTCACTACCACTCCTACACCTCCACTTCACTTGTGAATTTCAACTGAGTTAGGCACTCTATATTTGAGGCCTAAAGACATTTGCCTATGTTTAGACTTTTCAATTTTCACAACTCCTCTAGGTTAATCTATTCGACATACAGCGAATGTGAGATAGAGTCCAAAGCTGATGAGTGTGGCATCTCTGGCTTTAGATTCAAGCAAGTCAGCCGAATCCCCATTCTCACCATCTAGGACAGCTTGGCTTCTTTCCTTGTATGACTGTATCTTAATCATGGAAGCAATGATAGTGGTTCTTTTGAGAAGGAATCCTGAATTCTAACCAAATCCCCGTTCAGGAAACTCTGGTAAGTTAGGAAAGCATCTGCAAAAGGTACAAACTTTACTTGGCCTTGCTTAGTTTCACATAGGCATGTGTTGGTTCACTCAGTGAAATTTTTTTTTCAAGAGAATTTGGATTTCTATGGAGACCTTATCATTTTAATTTGTAAAGAACAGTTCAGGAAAAATTACACTACTCACATGACCATGTGAAACTGTTACGGTTAATTTTGTCAACTTGCCTAGGATACAGTGCCTAAATGTGATGAAACAGATCCTAGATTTCTCTGAAAGTGTTTTCAAAATGACTTAGCCATTTAAATCAGTGGTCTTTGAGTAACTTATTCCTCTTCATAATGTGGGTAGGCCACATCCAACCAGTTGGTGGTCTTGATGAACAAAGACTGACCTTCCAAGGAAGAAACCAGCAACTGCCTTTGGATCTGTCCCCAGGTCTCTAGCCTGCTGGTAGACCCAGATTTTGGACTCATCAGGCCTCTACAACTACAACTTCATGAGGATTCCTCACATGTGTTTCATTCGTGCTCTCATTAGGAGCAGGGAAGGGAGGTTTTTCCTCTCATGAATACCCTTCCTCAAATATTTTTCTACCTAGACCTAGCTACCCAGTACTGTCACTATTGATTCCTAATGTATTTTAAACAACAAAATCATACTTAATTATTAAGATTTATCTGAAGATAAAACGTCTTCATACAGTAGCTCATTTGATCTACTGAGACCATGCCTTATTCTCATTTCCTCCACGAAAACAAAAATCATTTTATGAACACTTGCGTTTTCTGAAGCTAGAAAACCTTAAGGTTCCATGCAAGATGACACCTGATTAATCACCGGATAACTGAAAAACAAGCACAATCAAGTGCAGGGGATATTTTAGAAAAGTCATATAAATTAAGGTTTAGCCATACTTAAGTAATAGTCAGGTGGTTGTTGATGGTCTAAAGATAAGCCTTAGCACATTCAAAGAAAAAAATCAAAATATAAGGTTTTGGTAAATCAGTAGTTGCACGGTAGGGTCATGTAGGAAACCTAAGGATAGGTTGAGAAATTAACTTAGGCAGTTATTTTGTTCCATGAAGGGATGCAGAAGTACTCAGAGAAATTTTTCAAAAATCCAAAAAAATAATTTGGTGCAAATACTGTTTTTTAAATGTTGGTGTAAAAATACCGCAGCAAGTCACTAAAAAAAAAAAGAACAAAATCATGTCCTTTGAAGTAACACATATGGAACTGGAGAGCATCACCTTAAGTGAACTAATTAAGGTACAGAAAATGAAAAACTGCATGTTCTCACTCACATATGGGAGCTAAATTGGCGTAAAGATGTAAATAATAGACACTGGGGCACTCAAAGTGGGGAGGGGAAGGGGGGTTCAAGTGTTCAGAAGCTACCTATTGGGTACAATGTTCAATATTTGGGGAATCAGGACACCTGAAGCTCAATCCCCACCAGTATCCAATATGCCCATGTAACAAACAGGTACTTGTAACCCTCTGAATTCAAAAGATAAAATAAATAAAAACAGTGCAGCAGCCTCTTAACCAAAATGCCTGAAGGCCAACAGACCACCAATTTGCATTGTTTCAGAGTATTCTTATAACATCTGTGGTATTCCAATTGTGACCAAACAGGGATTAAAATATTCAATAGCTAATTACCATCCCCGTCTTACAAAGTCCAAGGAACTAAGTCATTATATGTGGCACTCACTACTTATAATTCACTTCACAGATACATTTACTACTCAGAGCCATCTTTTATTCCACTTGTACTAGGATATATTATAGTCAAAACTCCAGAATAAATTGAGAATAAACTCCTAAATTACACATGACATTATTTTCCATTTCAAAATGGGAACTGATATTTGAATTTTTTTTTTTTTTTTAGATAGCAGGATTTATTAAGAGGACAGAAAAGCTCCCACAGTGGGAGGGGAACGCAAGGGGACGCCCCTATATTTTAAATATTTTAATCAGTCTAAACCAGATGGATACTAGTAACTGGCGCAAATGAGGCACAATTCTCAGTTTTTTTCAGAGAAAAAAATGAAGCTCTTAAATACCAGATCTTCCGTCTGCATACACCATTGGGTTTTTAAATTAATCATTCATACAGTAAAACTAATTTTCTCTGCCAAAGTAAAGAAAAAGACTAATCACACACAATTCTTAATTAAGAAATTAATACTGGAATATCACCCAAATAATAATGTAAGCAAACACACAGCTATCATATTCTCTATTCCAGAAAAGAGGCAGGAAATATTCATGTTGTAAGTTTATTTACAAACATATCCAGTATGCCATGAGTTCAAGAGTTTGATCCATTTTTCAAAGAGATTGCACATCTTAAAGTGCTCTTCATATCTGCAAAATATAAACAAAAATTAATGGCCTTAAAAACTCCATTCATTTAACAGAAGTCAGGTAGTTTCATTAAAGTACTGCCTATCAGTTTGGCACATCAGAAAGCGTTTACAGTATCATGATTTTATTCATACTGATTTGCTTCATCACATGCACCAAACCCTTTCCATAATAATGGCTTGAATAAATCATTACCTTTCTAAACTATGACAAAGTCTTTCCTTTATGTTTTGGAATTTATTCCAATCATTCCAACATTCTGTAACATTGCTTTGAGAACCTCTGATCATCATTAAGGTAAACATATTATTCACACACAGGAAATCTGCTAACCTTCCAATATGAAAGACTCCTTTGGGCATATACTGACATAAAACACCTTTCATCCAGGTTTGTCAACCTAGGCACCAGTGGTATTTTGTTCCCTAGTTAGGACTATCAAAAATGCCTCCAGACATTGTTAAGTGCTCGCCTATGGTGCAAATCACTCCCACTGGAGAACCATCACCTAAATGAGAAAATCATCTTCAGAAGTTTGAATTTCCCAAGATGGCTAACTTGGTCAAGAATAGATTTATAACAGCATAAACACCTGGGACTGATAATATCACAGAGTACTAGAAGGATTTTATTTTATCTCCTTTAAGATTTGCACATCTTAAATCAGTAAGTCTAGATTTTTAAAAATGTAAGCACAATGGCCGCTTTACAAAAGAAATGGAAAGATCTGTAGTGTTTTTATGTATATGTTATGAGTCACTGTTATTTTACTAAAAGTGTTCAGGCAGAAGAACATTCATCAGGTTATTAGAACTTTACCTGGTTAAAAGTGTAAGCTCTGGAACAAGACTGCCTGGGTAAGAATCCTCGTCCTCCATCACTAGCTATGGGATCTTGGACAACTTAACATCTTTGTGTCTCAGATGGGGTTATATCATCCATCTCAAAGGCTTGCTGGGGAATCACACGAGACAATCAATGCAAAGTGTGCCTGACAAATAACAGTACTACAAAGTACTGGCTATTACAGATTATTAGTGAAATATTTGTTTATAAGTTTATCAACCAGTCTCCACCAATGCCACATCTACACTTGAGCCCAGAAATCAGTCCTACACAACAATGCATCTGTGTTTGTGTTTTTTTAGGGAGAAAGATATGAAAAGAAGGAAAAACAGCACCACTTTAGGAAAATTAGAAATCCATTAATTACCTGTTAAATGGATGAACTAAAACATCCTTACTTCTTAAGTAGTTGGTGTCTTACTATAAAGAAAGGTGCAGCAAACCCAGATCCAAGGTACAATGTCATCATTGCTAGCAACCGCCACTTGTTTTCCACCGAAAATGGCAGATTCTGTTGGGGGAGGGAAGAGAAAAAGTAACAAAAAGAGAACTTAAAGTCATCAGTTTTATAGATCAAAAATCAAGTACACAAGGAATAGATATTTTTACATAATTAGGTTATATATGCCATGTTTCACTGCATCACTTTAAACATTACCATCTTTCAAATCCAATGACCTTCATCACACATAGCACTAGACAGTGTTATCTGGTTTTACCAAACACACTAGGCAATGGTCTTAAGGACACAAGTGAGAAACTTTCTATTAAAAAAAACAAACAACGAAAACACATGTATTCTCTAAAGTGGTCACTTGAGAAACAAAAACGCATTGCTCTAATTAGCTATTAATTAAAAACTAACCACCCCGAAGATGCACGGCCGTGTTTTCCGCACTAAAGTTTTGCTTTTCCACTACCGAGCAGCCATCCCTCGACACCCCTTCTCTGCCCTTCCCGACCAGGCCTCGAGGAACTACTTGACCTAAGCGACACCTAAGGTTACACCTGCCTCACACGACAAGGAGGGTCTGTGCTTCCAAGTCAGCCAACTAATTAGAAAAGGCTTGGTCCACATTCGTAGGCCCTCTTTGCCAATGCCCTTCACCAGGGTCCGGTAACCTCCAGCTCGGCTTTAAGCCGCGACCCCAGCAACCGCGGTCTCCGGGATCACCCAGAGCTTTTGGAAGGGAGGGGTGAGGGTCAGACAGCTGATGGGGGAGCGCGCGGGGTCGGGTTGCCGGTTTCCCGTGTTCGTTCCTTCCCGGCCGCTTCCTCCTGGCCCCGGGGTGCGTGTTAGGCCAGCTTGCGTCTAAGCCTGTCTCCTGCCTCACCGCCCCAGCCCAGCGCCCAGATGGCCTCGGGGCGAACGAATCGCAGCTAGACCCCCTCCCCCATGAGGCCGAGCCCTCCCCCACGAACCTTCCCCGGGCCCTCCTCGTAGTGGCTCCTGCGGACCACAGAGGTCGTGAACCTCCGGACGCCCTGTCCCCACATGGCGCTGCCGCAAGCTCCGCGAAAGAGAAGAGACCGAAGGCGAAAAAAATGGCGGCGCCACCCCAAGTCCACCTTTTCACGACCTTGCTCCCCCGAGTGCAGGGACCGAAAGGAGAGACGGGAGATGGGGCGGAGCTTTCCGGGAACGTGGCAGCGCGGCGGTCGCCAAGGATTGTGGGAGTTGTAGTTCTAAACATGTGGCGCCTTGTGGAACCCGAAGCATTGTGGGAAATGTAGTCTCGTGCCAGGCATGGGAGGCTCAGACTGCTTAGTTTCTTACCAGCAGTCATTCTTCCAGACCTAGGTTCTTTTCTTGGGCCCGGGTCCGGGAGCCCGTTAACAGAGAAAAAGTAGCAAGCGAAGCGGTTTAACCTTCTGTGCTCTGGTTTATGTAACAGGAAAATACACCTGTCCCTTTTGTTGGTGGATACAGTCTATACTTGGTGTCAATGATTGGCGGCATCTGCCAATGCTGAGAGATGTATGTCAGAATCCTATCCAGGAAATACAGCTTAAATACGAGGAGCCAGACACGCAGCACAGAGGACTGAGAGAAAATTGAGTTGGAGTGCTAAAGGAAGGAGTATTGAAAATAGAGGAAATTAGAGCAGCAGGAGGAACACAGGGTAAAGAAAACTCAAGTTCAGTATGAGTCTGGCATGTCTGGAGCATAGGAAAGAAGGGTAACCTCTGACTTCTGGAGCATTAGTCTGAACTAGGAATGGGTGTTCTGCTGAATGTACATAATTTCAACAAGCATCAACATCTAAAAGGCCACTCTGACACAGTCTAATCAAAAAAGAATATAATCACTGTGTAATCATATCTGAATATATAGAAAATATAAACATCATCCAAGCAACAAAATTGATCAAACATCACCCTGTCTGGTTTAGTATGATGATTTCTGCTTCTTTACTAATTACAATATTAGACTTGATCTAGTCTTTCTTCCTCCTAAGAAAGATTGAATAATATATCCCAAATTTTGGAAACCAACAAAGCTTACAAAACCTTCCTAACATTTTATTGAGAACTGTCAAGCACTACAGTTCCTTCTAGTCTCTGTTACTGCAATGAATAATAAATTCAGCTTGTTCAATAATAGGTGTGTTCCTGGTAGCCTTTGACTAGAAGGGATTGTGAGGAAACCAGTGGGACATGACCGTGGGGAAGTGGTGTTAGGTTCTATTGTAAGGGGTCCTGCCAACCTAAGGGTTATGTTATTTATGAGTGGGAAACTGTATATTGCCTCAGATGGCTTGCTTACACAGCCATGGGAAACAACTCAAATGAGACCTAAGTTTTGTTTTGAAAACAGAATATAAAATGTGTACTTCAGAATTCTTTTTTTTAGTTTTTGAAAGAGAAAAAACATGCCCCCCCCAAAAAAACTTTAAAAAACTAATGTTTTATTTCTACAAGTAGCTCCTCTTGAATGGAAACGCATGTGATGCACAGTTGGTGTTGTCCTCCCCCTGATTCAGGGGAGATTGGGTGCATTTAGAGTGATATTGCCATAGACTTCTTCCCCTAATTCATAGAGATTCTATGACCTTCAATTTTTTAAAACTTCTGTTCAGTGCCTTTTCATATTAAAGGGTATGGTTTAACTATAATTGGGAAACATTTTAACATTAATGTTACTGGATTCTACTTTTCAATCTAATGTAAATAATGTCATATATAGCTTTGGTTCATTGATGCTTCTAACTCACATTACATGAGTTTCTACTGTGTATCTGGCTTTGAGCTAATGCTTAAGGAACTTGCAGGCCAGATATTCCACAATAAGGCTTCAGAATTTTCTGCCTCCTCAGGGCCCCTGTAGCAAATTAAACAGCTGCAATTCTTTTAATCAAGATAAGCAGTCTGGGTGTTCTCTCTCTCTCTAAGTCTGAGTGACTCTGTGACACTCTTCATCAAAAGAAAATGGCAGAAGTGACAATGTCAGTGTCCTGCGCAGGCCTAGCAATATTGGCAACTTCCTTTTCTGTGTTTTAGAACAAGTGGTCACCCACCTTTTTGGCATCAGGGACTAGTTTCATGGAAGACAGTTTTTTCCACAGACAGAGGAAAGTGGGCTTGGGGTATCATCAGGCATTAGATTCCCATAAGGAATGCACAACCTAGATCCCTCTCGTGTGCAGTTCACAACAGGGTTCCTGCTCCTATGAGAATGTAATGAGCATCAGCTCACCTGTTGCTCACCTCCTGCTGTGCAGTTGGGCTCCTAGTACTGGGGAGGTGGAGGGGCCCCATGTAAGGAGTTTGACTGCTCTTCTGGAGAGGCCTTCTGTAGAGTCCCTGAGGATTCACAGAAGGAGGAGCGAGGGGCACAGTCAGGCACAAGGCATGTGAGTGGAGCCACCTTGGACCCTGCAGCCCAGCCACCTGCTGAATATCACCTAGTGATCCCAGTCAACACTTTGTAGGGCAAAGTTTCCCAGTGGAACCCCACCCAAAATGTTGCTCTACAGATCTGTGGGATAAATTAAAATGGTTGCTCTTTCAAGTCATTAAGTTTGAATAGTTTGTTATGCAGCAATAAATAGAGCCCTAGAAGTAATACAGTCACTTTAGGAAATTAGCCTTTCTACCAGCTGTCATTAGAAGAACATAGTTTCTTGTGGCCAATCTGTAGATGAGAAATTGGCTATTTCACTTAGAATATTTATCTTAGCTTAATACATATCTTTCTCGCGAATCATCCTTCCATGATAATTCTCCTGCTGTAATGAGTTGTGCTGAACATACTGAAATATCAGACATTTGGGAAGTAGGGTGGTTCCATTTCATGGTGGTGTGAAGGTTAACACCCTTGGGGGAGTGCTAGACACTCTGAGAAATGCACTTCGCCACTTTTGAATGCTCCTGGTGAGTTAAGAGATAAGTTGGAGTGGAATTAAAAGTGGCTGAGATTACTTATTCTTAGCAAATTACTGACTTTTGTATTTGTGGTTAGAGCATCTTCTTGATACTTATTTGAAAATATTCACTAAAGAATGTTTTTGTCTTGGTACACATGGACATACAAAGTGGAATAATAGACATTAGAGACTGCAAAAATGTAGGAGAGTGGGAAAAGTGGTGAGGGTTGATAAATTACCTATTGGGTACATGTTGGGAGCTAGTCTTGGAGGCCCATCTGATTAACAGGGTCCTGGTGGACCGAAGACCCTGGGCTGCAGGGCGAGCCTGGGAAGCTGAGGCCCTTCTGTCTTCCACCTTTGCTGTTTGGTACCGCAAAGAATTCTGTGCAGTCGTGGAAGAAGAAAATGGCATGTTTATGTGAAGTACTCACAGCTAACCTGGAAATGTCATGGTTCATTTTTCCATTTCCCACTATGCCGTTTGGCCTTTTCTAACATATGCAAGGGTTAAACTCTGAAGCACATCAAGAATGTTTTCTTTCACTTGGTTATAAGTTACTAGATATTGCTTAAGTAATCAATGATATAAGTATATTCACTCATTTGATTTAGAATTATGTAGTTTAGTGTTTAGATATAAGGTTTTCTAGAAGCACAAGTTTATAGTAAGTTCATTATGAATTCATTATAAGTTCTAACACTTATCTAGGAGTTATGTAGGTGATTTATAACACT